GGCAATAAAAGGCCAAAAAAATACATTAAAACAAAAAAAAAATCAAGAAGAAAGTCAAAATTAGAGTCTCGTAACTATTTTGTTATTATGATGCAGTGCTACAAATAATTAACAACAGTGACTCAGTAAATGATCGTGTAGAAACGTACGTTTAGACAGCCACACCCTCAAACCTCTGTACTTAGTCAGTTATTGTCTCCACAAGCAAGATATCATAATATTGGTTTATTTTGCTTAAAATATATGGAATTGTTCCTTGTGATTTCTTTTAAGACATTCAGTAGTGCAACAGTGCCTTATTGTGAGTATCATTAGTTATTTAGAGATTACTGACTGGGTAACCATTGTTTTTCTTTTCACTTTTCAAAGGTACTGGAACAGAGAGGTTCAACAGGCTGCAAAAGAGCTGCGCAAACCCAAACTTAGCAAAGTTCTTGTTCAGTGCTATTGGAGATCATACTCACTCATTGGAATATACATCTTTATAGAGGTACAGTGCAGCCTCACAGTGAAACTAAATGTCTACCGAGAATAACGCTGCTTTAAGAATGAAGTTTTGTTCAAGTGCAGCACATGAACATATTTGTTTTACATCCCATTGTCTATCAGGAAGTCATCAAAGTCATTCAGCCAGTGCTACTTGGGAAGATAATTGAGTACTTTGAGAGTTACGACCCCACCAACACAGCTGCAGTCTACGAGGCCTACAGCTATGCTGCAGGCATCTCCTTGTCGACCATTGGCCTGGCTGTCCTTCATCATCTCTATTTCTACCATGTCCAGCGAGAAGGGATGAAGATCCGTGTGGCCATGTGTCACATGATTTATAGGAAGGTCAGTCAATGTGAAGCATCTGTGTATAAATGTCATCCTCTGTCATATTCCTGTGGTTTGTGGGACTTGATTTAACACCTTTGTTCTGCAAAGGCTCTTTGTCTCAACAGCAAAGCACTGGCCAAAACTACCACGGGACAAATTGTAAACCTCTTATCAAATGATGTCAACAAATTTGATGAGGTAATTATCCATATAAATATATACATATACATTTTTTTAATATGTTTTAATATTGTGTATGTGGTCTACTTATTCAATAATACCTCAGTAATTCTGGCCTTTTCATTGTTTTCTTACAGGTAACCTTGTATTTGCACTTTTTGTGGATTGGTCCTCTACAAGCAGCAACTGTGATATTATTGTTGATGTATGCGATTGGACCATCATGCCTTGCGGGAATGGCTGTGTTTTTCATCTTGATGCCAATACAGACTATGTTCGGACGCTTTTTTTCTACTCTGAGGTTTGTAGTCAATTCACCAGATCTATCAAATATAGTTAACAGATGTCTATACTTTGCAATGCAATTTGTGTTTGCTGCTTTAGGGCTGAAACAGCAGCCTTAACAGATGACAGAATACGAACGATGAATGAAGTCATCTCTGGGATCCGCGTTATAAAGATGTATGGGTGGGAGAAACCTTTCGCTGCATTGGTGGATGAGGTCAGAAGGTAGATCAATTCCTTTGATCTAAAATAAAAATCTTTTTCTTCTTCTTTCTTCATCAAAAGTACAGTAGTTCAGAAATGTCATATCATGCATTAAGATAATTTACAAAGTTTTGTAATATCCTAATTAACAAACATATTATGAACAAATGCTCCTATATTCTGTCAAAAATCAGAATGCCAATGTATGTTAAACAGCATTTACTGACAACATGTCTTGTAATTGTACAGAATGGAAATCTCCAAGATCATGAAAAGCTCCTACCTACGTGGCCTAAACATGGCGTCTTTCTTTGTGGCCAGCAAGATAATCATCTTTGTCACCGTCTGCGTCTACGTGCTGACAGGAAACCAGTTATCTGCTAGCAGAGTCTTTATGGCCGTTTCTCTCTACGGGGCGGTCAGACTCACCATCACACTCTTCTTTCCCTTTGCCATAGAGAAGGTCTCTGAGTCTCTCATCAGCATTAGAAGGATTAAAGTAAATACACCACAGACAGAGGCTACATTTATAAGGAGTGTGTATTGATCACTATCTATCGCAACTGAAACTCTGAATGTGCTTCTTCTTCTAAGACCTTTCTTCTGCTGGATGAAGTTGCTCCTCTGCATCAGGGGCTTCCTGTGGCAGAGAAGAAAGACTGCATGGTAAAGATTCAGGATTTAATATGCTACTGGGATAAGGTGAGAAGAGTAACAGATAGTAACAGATTTACTGCATAGTCACTACGTGGCAGTGTTTCACTTAATTTGCTTTTTTTGCAGATGCTAGAGGCTCCAACTTTGCACAACGTGTCTTTCACAGTGAGGCCAGAGCAGCTTCTGGCAGTAATTGGATCTGTTGGAGCTGGAAAGGTCAGGTCTGTTCTCTGGTCTCAGGTTTGTAGTCATGCACGCACATGATTAGAAAACCTGAGACATGTTAAATAACTCAAAATAGTTAATAGTGTAATGTAATCAAATGTATGACTCGCCAGCAGTATGAGTATACATCAGCGGTTTAATGCCAAAACAAATGTCACTGGGGCCATTCGATTTTACTGACAAAATGGAGACATTGATGTGTGAGAAATAACAACATTTCTTCATTTTTACCATGAATTAATCTTAACTTTAAACTCTGTTGTATGATAATAGTGCTAGTATTTCTTGTTAAAGCCACTAACTGCTAGATAGTTAGCTTGTGTGCAGGCAGCAGAATACAGTCTTTATTAATATTTGGTTAACTGAAATCTGTCTGTCTTTTGGGAAATAATATGTGGAAAGGATGGACAACTAGCTTAGCATACTGCAGCACAAAGACTGGAAACGGGGAAACAGCTAGCTATCCTGGCTCTCTTCAAAGTAGAGAAATACACCCAACAGCATCTCTAAAGCTTCTTATTTAACATGTTGTATGTTGTCTCTTGAATTAATACCCAAACAGAAACTTCAATTTGCGGTTTTACTGGGAGTTATTTGCTTCTTTTTGAACAATAGTTGTTTATGCTAGGCTAAGCTAATTGCTTGGCCCAAAAAAGTGATTTTTAGCATATTTCCCAAAATGTCAAGATTGTTCTTTAAATCTTAACTCTTGTGCTGTGTTTTTGTGCACGTCAGTCCTCGCTCCTCAGTGCCATCTTGGGAGAACTGAGTCAGGAAAGTGGTGTGATCAAGGTCAAGGGAGAGCTGACATACACTTCTCAGCAGCCCTGGATTTTACCTGGTACGATTCGAAGCAACATCCTTTTTGGCAAAGCGCTCAACCCCCAGAAGTATGATAGAGTTCTGAGAGCCTGCGCCCTCAAGAAAGTGAGAATCACTTTTAGTCATGTTCTTGATTATCACACTCCCCGCTGCATTTCCGTAGTATGTGGTCTAGGTATTAGAAAGGTTTTAGCACATCTAGCTCATAGAGAGTCTAGTGTAAATGTGATTGACTGCTAAGGTTTGCATTTGGACCACGTTCAGGACATGGACCTGTTGCCAGGTGGTGACTTGGCGATGGTCGGGGACAGAGGGGCCAACCTCAGTGGAGGCCAGAAGGCAAGGGTCAGCTTAGCAAGGTGTGCTGGATAACTTTATAGCAATGCACTTTTTCCCTTGGTGTCAGTGACAGAGATAACCTCCATATGTGTGTGTTTTTAGAGCAGTGTATCAGGATGCAGATATCTACCTGCTGGATGACCCACTCAGTGCTGTGGACGCTGAGGTGGGCCGGCACCTCTTTGAAGAGTAAGTCTTGTTGCAAACATCATTGTTTTCAGTGGAAAGTACACATCAATAAATCAGGTGTTATTTATTGTGTTGATAAAAAGATTTCTTGTTTCTGAATAGAAAAATGTGTTTTCTTCAGGTGCATTTGTGGACTTTTGAGGAAGAAGCCTCGTATCCTGGTTACTCATCAACTACAGTATCTGAAGGCTGCGGATCAAATTGTTGTCTTAAAGGAGGTGTGTGCACATGTGTGTATACTGCTATGTTTGTTTGTGTTTATAACTCGTAGCATACCTTATGTGTTGCATTTTCACCTCAGCTGAGAATCCAGTGGTGACCCAGTGTCATGGCTAGAAGAAATATGAACATGACAGAGCAGGTCCCTACCTGAGTATTGATGAGGCTTCAGTATCTGATTTATGGCCAATAGGTGGCAGAAGAACTAAAGAACAAGATGACAGTTAAATGGCATATATGTTAACAATAATATGTTAACAAGGAATTGCATACAGTACTTAGATTGCCAGCTCATTATTAGAACAAGTCTTCTTTGACTCCTGGATTTATATACTTATATATTTCTATATATTAGTCACTTGCTAGTTGCTAACTGTGTCTGTCTGTTGTTTGGTGCAGGTACTGTTTGCTGCTCTTACAAACAGGCTTGATGAGAACTACTCCTCAACTATAGGCTACAATAGACTATGTGCAGGTCACAGAATTAAAGGAATGAGCTAAAAGATCTTACTGTGGGTTTGTCACTATGAGTGACTCTTTCCATACTACATATAGTCATTTTAGTGTTGATATAAAATATAATCATAATATTGATTAGCAGCATTTACCACAGCTCTGATCAGTAAAAAATAATAATCACACACAGGTAAAACATTAGAAAAGGCGTGATTTACTTTCTATTGTGACTCGTTATTAAACCTATAAACATGACACTAGATTGTGTTTCTTTAAGAGCTAAAAAGTTAAATGTATAGACAAAACAACTGAAGAGACCATTACTAAGATAAATGTTGTTTTTATTAATAATTTTGGCAAGGGTTCATGTTCTTCTGCTTAAATACTGTGACACTTACAGGGACTTGACTGTTCTGTCTTCTGAGTTCTACATCTCTTTTTTCTGTCCTTTCCAGGGTCAGATGGTGGCACGTGGGACCTACAGTGAGCTGCAGGGCTCTGGAATTGACTTCACCTCCCTGCTTAAGGAGGAGGAGGACCAGGAAGGGGAGAGGCACGGCACGACCCCCGTCTCTGTCTCCCGCTTTCCCCATACGCTCTCTGACAACTCAATGTCCTCTATGTCCTCCCTCTCTTCCTCTCGGTACTCTTTGATTGAGGGAGCAGAGCCACTTGCAGTGGTAGGTATATGTGAAACGTAAGCTTCACTATAATTGGTAAGAAGTGGGTTTTTATCAAGCTTTAAGCAAACATGTGTAGTGGTCTCATTGTAGGAAAAAGCTTGTTATGCGTTCTACCATACACTAGAGGGCAGAAGGTACTCACCTTTTCCCTGCTGCTCATTACAGCCCGATCTGAAGTGTTGCTGGATGACTGGCATTTACTCTAGTGTCTATGTGCAGGTAGTGCAACCAACAGAGGAGGAAAGCCGCTCAGAGGGAAACGTTGGCCTGCGTATGTATGTGAAGTATTTCAGGGCAGGCGCTAACTTCCTGGTCCTCCTGGTCCTCATTTTACTCAATGCCCTAGCACATGTGAGTTAAATTCTTCCACTTCATTTGGTGTGTGTTTTTTATCAATTTTAGAAAGATAGAGCACCTAATTTATTTCATATAAATTTCATAAAATTTAATGATGGTAGTGAAAATAAAGGTTTTTGATAAATGTTATGATTTTTGTGTGTTTGCTTGTTTTTTGTGTCCGTTTAGATTACATTTGTTCTACAGGACTGGTGGCTCGCTTGCTGGTGAGATTTTGTTTATTTTACACCTTGTGAAAAACATGCGGGCAAAAATGAGAATAGCAGGTTTTGTTAGCCAAACTGACATATTTTCTCAGACTGGAAATGGTTGATGATTTAATAGAAGACGACTGAACCAAACATTTTTCTTTGGCACTATCTATCACTTGTTGAAACTGACCTTGTGCTTCGGGATAAGAGAAATCTGTTTTGTATAGTGTCTTCATGTTGCCGCTTTCTTTCTTTGTTGTGTTTATTTGTCCTTGTGGATTTTTGGTTCTTTTGTGGCTGATTCGCAGGGCCTCTGAACAGAAGCACATCAATGTGACAGAGCACCTCAATGGCAGCTTCCCTCGGCAGCTGGACCTTGACCTGTACCTAGGTGTTTACGCAGGTGAAGCTCACTGAGCGCACATTGCTTTTTTGTGTACTGTTGAGGCTCTGAATACGCCAGCCATTCAATGAACAGATCCACAGTTCTTTGGCTGTGGCCCAAGGCCTTCAAGGCCCAGTGTATATGTGTACATGGGCCTCAGCTGTACAGGGAGATAGCAGTGCCTTTCTAGTTCTGTGCTGTTGGATTGTTCTGATTGTCTCCCTGTGACTCCCAGCCTCTTCACTCTTTCAGGCTTTGTATTCACAGTGATAGATCAGCATTCAAGACAAAAAATAAAATAAAAAATGATTGAAGGAAAAACTTAAGTGGAATATATCTGTTTTTGTTGTAATTCAGCATGCTTAATAATGCCCCCTTAAATGCATAGCTGACCTTGGAACGGGCACAAGGATAGCATTGTAGTGTGCTGATGGATTTTTTTTTCTGTGCTTTTGTCAGGTTTAACAGCTACTTCAGTAGTGTTTGGCTTCCTTCGCAGCCTGCTTTTCTTTAATGTCCTGGTGAGCTCGGCCCAAACCCTGCACAACAGCATGTTTAATGCCATCCTCCGGACCCCGGTACACTTTTTCGACATCAACCCAATTGGTAAGTGTCCCTCCTCCTCTTCAAGTGTAAATTTAAATAAATGATAACTGATAATTTTTTTGTAGCATGGTTATACAGGAATTAATAGATGATTTTTAAGACATGCAGTGGGACCTGCTGTAGAAGTTGTTGTTCTAACATCTCACCACTAGAGAGCAGACTGTTACTTAATTTGTCATGTTTTGATCGACTTTACAAACATTCATATGCTTGCCCTTAAACTCCATAGTTTCATTGCCATGGAGTTCTATATTATGATAACTTACGTAGTCAAGTATTATAATTCTCATTTTGATTTTTAAATCATTTTAATTATTCAAATATTTGATATTATCACAATAATATTGTAATGGTATTTATAAATATAATTAAAACTGATAATTGTTAATCAGAAGATCTAATATGAACTATAAGATAAACAATCTACTACTGTACTGTAGTTGTAAGTTTAAGATGTTTTTTGTTTGTGGGATTTATGGGATTTAATATCTGACTGTGAATAAACTGGCATCTTAAAAGTCGCTGCTGGGAAGTAAAACCTGTGTAACCAAGAGGCAAATTCAAACACCTTGTGATATGACTTAATATATAGCCATAATGTATTTAAAAATAAGTAAAGAGAGTGCTATCACTTTTATTGTGAGCCTGAACAAAAAGCAAACAATCATATTGAATAAATACTGTTTGCACTAGATCTTGGACAGTATTGTGTTTGGACTGTAGAGCTGTATAAATACAGACGTATTTGTCTTGTGCGCTGTATCAGAAATCTTCGATTATTTCATTAGCTTTGTAGGCTGTAGCTGCTGGGTCAATGGAGTGGGCAGATGGACATGATTTTAAAAGTGAGCAAACACTCCAAATACGTCTGACTTTACTCAGGGAGGGCTGCTGTTTTTTTTTTCATGCACGTTTCGCACCACTTTTTAAAATAGAAACCAATGAAACTGAGAGCGTATGTCAAGATTTGTTGAAATAATTTTGCAAAATGTTTTGCGCCTCTTGTTATTGTTCCTCTATGATTTTGTGGTTATAATTAAAGAACTCTTTTAATTAGGTGAAGTAATCCAAAGTCAACTGTCAAGTGGCCCACTTTGATAACTTTAATTTTTCTGGAGCATTGTTCACCTGTCAGCAGATAATTACTCAGCCTAATCTCTTCATAGTGACATGCATGTACAACACAATCAGCTCGGGTGGGAATTCTCAACAAGAAGGGAACTTGTATCTGTATAATGAGTCATAATAAGCTGGTAACACAAGTCTAAATATGATTTGAGGGTGTTCAGGAGCTTGTGGTTTCTCCTGGCATTAAAAGTGGGTGTAGCAACAAAGCTTTCCTTTGCAAAGCTGTGTTTGGAGCAAACACCACAGGTCTTAATCTTTGGCTTTTGTTTTTACTGCTGCCGTTGTGTTATGTATTGGACTACCTGACAGCTTATCTGGGTGTGCCTTGCTTGATAATCTACGCACGGGAGGAGGACAAACACTCTGAATAATGTAATAATCTGTTTAATAGCGCAGCAAAGGAGAGGCTTAACAGACACTGCTATCTGATTGCTGTTGTGCTGCTATCAGTAACCATTGTATGACCAGTCCAGTCATTACAGCTTGGCCTCCAGGCTGGCAAACAGCACTGTGTGTCTGACTGGATTTATAGACAACTGTCTTAGACAGTGAGTTTCTTTTGTCCTTTATCCAGTCAACAGTAGATTAAGAATGGACATGACCTTTTTTTTTTCATCTATACAATATAAATTATAATAAATATATATTTTTTTCCTGCTCTATATTTTGTCAACTGGTTCATTCACTTGAGTTAAAGCTAACAGAGAAGACCAGGACAAAGACAGCTGTTGTCAGCTGTGCTGTTTTTTTTTCTCTCCTCTTTTTTTCTTTCTTAATGTTCTGCTTCTGTCTAAAAGATTTTTACTTTTACACAATAGCTGCCACTTCCATCTCAGCTGCTTCCACATCCACTACTGTCTAGCAATAAGTGTGAGTAATTTGTAACTGTGCGCTGTTAAGGATTTGACAACTGTTTACATGTGTAAGTGATAGGTGTGCTGCTGCTGAACAGGTCCAGTGTTTGATAGCTGTCCACAGAGTTAAAGGTTACCATTTTAAGCGTCGCTGCACAAAGGTCTTATTTGTTATTCTGTGAATGTGGCTTATAACAATAGAGTATAGCAGAGGTGAATTATGATTGATGGACAGGCATTGTAACTCTTCTGTATCAGTCACTGGATGCCTCTGCGCTATTTGAATCTTATTTTCCGTGTTATCTTTTGTGCTGTGTGGAAGTAGTTGATTTCCATGTTGGGCCTTTTGGTGATTAAAAGCATTATATTTTGTAACAATACTATTCGGTACCTTCTCATATATCTAGGTGACGCTGATAACACTACAGACTGCCATTTCCTCTATTATACCTATTTATATAAATTAATATATTCATATTCTTATTACAGCTGTTCATCCAAATGTGATCCAGTTAAAGCAGCACAGACAGCGGTGGATGTGTTGAGCTGATGTTGATCCCTGTAATTTAGTGTCATTGAGTGGGCTAATCCCCTCAGAGACTGCAGGCCAGGGCTTCAGCTCATCAGCACAGTCAAGGAGTGGAGTTTCAGTCAACACACACACACACACACACACACACACACACACACACTTCTACCGTCCCCC